CTCCCAAGAGCCCTCCTCGTGACGGAAAACAAGAATTTGCACATGACCTGTTTGCTTCTAATAGCTTCTTGTTACTACTAGTAAGGCACTTGTTACTACTAGCGTGGCACCTGTTACTACATGACCTGTTTGCTATTTTCTATTAGGTTTGCTATATTAGCTCACGAATGATTTGGTTCCTAGTAGCGTCCTTGCTCCTAGTAGCGATGCGAGGAGCCTCTAGTAGCTTCTAGCCGCTAGAGATTTGGTTTCTAGGTTTGTTTGGAAAGCTTGGACCCCTCTTTCAGCCACGCGAAGCAACTGCGCCTTTAAGAACTCCTCAGAGGGCTTCGACTTGAGGAGCGCCTTAAAAGCGAAGTAAAAATAGAATTTAATTAGACCTCTGAGATGTGATGTCTAGTAGTACTACTAGTAAGGCACTTGTTACTAGAAGCGATGCACTTGTTCCTAGTAGCTTCTTGTTTCTACTATGTCGCACGGCTCTACAAGCCGCTTCCCCTCCAAGTAAGGATGGCCTCCAACCTACTAGCAATGTCACTCTTCGCCTTTGGAACACTTGGGAACCAAACCGCGAGGATCTAGTTCTAGTGATATGTATTCAGAGTCGTGTCCATTGGTCATCTTCGAAATTATGTTCACAATTCCGCCTCCAGAACGGCTGCTCCATCCTCTGGGCAGGCTGCTTCCTTTACCTCACCATTGGTTGATCATTCGTGCCCGCTTTTCTTCTTTCACTTGTTGTTGCTTTCGTTGCCTTCTGTGTTCTTTCTCTTTTCTCTAGACCCTTAGACCCGTCCTTCCTTCCTTCCTTCCTTCCTTCCTTCCTTCCCCTTCTTTTATCGCTTTCCTTCATAAGTTGTGGATCCTCAGCCATGCCATTTGGTCAGTTCGTTGGCCTGATCCATAGCCATCTGGAAGCCCCAAGCATCCACCTGACGGAAAAACACCGCGTCACCACATGTTCATCTTTCCCTGTTTCCTTTACACTCTTTAGACCTTTAGGATCCTTTATGCCTTTTTGTGTTTTTCTTCCGGTTTCATCGTTTTCTTCAGACCTCCTTGTTCTTTCCTGGTATTTCTTCATGATGTATGTCAGTATTTTGAGGTGAAGGGACTTTACACGGAACGAACTTTGCCTTTTGGCATGTCCAGCCACCCAACCTCCATGAGATCTTCACTCTCGACGTTCGCCTTTTCGTTCTCCTGCTTCTCCTGCAACTTCACCATGGAACCTGTGCAACCTGCGCAACCTCTCACATTCAAGATCAGGTCGTCGACACCGAAACAAACCATACAAACTAGGAGACAGAACTGACATGCTAGTCATTTGTTCCACAAATCCACGATACGCCTCTTTCAGAAGAGACTTTTGTCCTCTTCTTCTCATTCTGAAATGTTGTTTGGTTGGAGGCCATCGCTAGTAGGTACTCCTCGTTCAGAATGTTTGCTTTGTCGCGACCTTTTGTCCCAAATGTTGAACCGCGGCCTTTTTGGCTTGACAGATTCCACCTTGGGACAGAACTGGGCACATGAAGCAAGGCCATAGGCCATTGGAGCTGCAAAGACTTGATTGGATGTGGTTCCTTTGCTTTTACTAAGTCACTAAGTGTTCCAACAAGGCGCGATCTGCCAAAAGGCTCAGGTTCCAACAAAGTGGCTGTGGGGCCGATTGCATTGCACTCGGTGTCAACTTCTCCACCTTTCTAGAACACGACTTTTGTTTGGCAGCTGTGCTCGGTCTATCCCTTGGGGAAGGAGGACCGAAAGCGTGCTCGGTCGTCAAGAAACACAAGATGCTGGTTGTTGTCGTAATTGTTGCTAGTAGCGTCCTTGCTCCTAGTAGTAAGGCCAGGAGCCCCTAGTAGCGTCCTTGCTCCTTTTTTGCCTTTTTCCTTGAGTCTTCGGCCCAGCCCATGTGCTGTCCGCAGGCAGAGCAAAAGCGGGACGTGCCACGAATCGCCGTGAGCAAGCCTGCCATGTCAGGCTTGGCCCAGAAAGTGTTCTGTTCTTGCAAAAGGCAAAGACTACTGAGTAACGACGTTCTTTTCATTGGGGCCTTTGCATGGCATACTATATGCAAGACGTAGGTAGTGCCAAGACCTAAAGACATCTATAAGTTTTTCATACAGCTGACAGGAACTGCGTCGTACCGCAAGGGTTCTGCAAACACTATATGCCCCGTTCGTAGCGTCCGATCGCTCCGTTCGTAGCGATGCCCGTTGTTCCGTTTGTAGCGATGCCCTTGCTCCTAGTAGTAAGGCCAGGAGCCCCGTTCGTAGCGTCCGATCGCTCCGTTCGTAGCGATGCCAGGAGCCCCGTTCGTAGCGATGCCCTTGTTCCTACTAGCTTCTTGTTACTACTAGTAAGGCACCTGTTACTACTAGCGTGGCACTTGTTACTACATCCTCTTACATCCTCTTACCGAGACAAAAAGAGAGTTCTGCGGGGGGGCGCCTGGAGGTTTGGAATCTTCGCTCGAGCCCCAGCCTCGCAATGCATCGCACATCGGCTCGGCTCGTTTCTTCGAGAATGACTTGACCCAATGTGAAACGTGAAAGTTGAACTTCCGCAATGTCAGATATAAATATATCAAAATATAATATAGAAAAATAAAATGACAAAAGTTTCACAGAAAAGATGTTTGGGCCTGCACTGCTTTCACTCCTAAAGGAGAGAGCAAGGTACAACAAGATGACCCATGTCCGTTGATGGGACAATGCAGGTTGTGTGCTGCACATGCCCATCCCCTGTTCTTCTGTAGACAAATCGTTGCTGCGTTTGTGACGAGTGGTGTGGCATATACAAAGACCTATGCCACACGTCAAGAGGATGAGAATAACTTGTGTGATCCTACACTGCAAGGTTGACCTACCTACTTGTATACTTAAGCTTACTTACGTTGCTACTAGGAACAAGTGCATCGCTACTAGTAACAAGTGCCTTACTACTAGTAACAAGAAGCTAGTAGAAACAATAAGAGGTATACTTGTGTGCTTAAGCTTAAGTGTTGCTACAGCGGACCTCATAAGAACAGCCTGGAGACATCACGGACCTCTGAGCAAATCTCACCCAGTGTCCTGGAGCTGGAGCTGCTCCTGGCAAACGCACCAGCAGTGCCGAAGCTGTGAAACCCTCCAATTCCAAAGTCAAGAAGCTTCTTACTACAAGTATCTACAAGTACGGTATGTGTGTGTGTGTGTGTCACATCCAACATCCACCGAAGAAAGATACCAAATGCCATGCCTGCCATGCCTTCGGCCTTTTTTGTGCCTGACGGCGTGATCATCAGTACAAGAAAAGGTCTTCAACTGCCAATGCACAAGGATCCTGCCTGGAGCTGGAACTCCTGCAAGCAGAGTCAGTCCAATGGATACATTTCAAAGAGGAGACTTGATTCCGCGCGAGGGAAACAACACACTTGAGAGAGGAGGGGGGTGAACGAAAGGTAGCAGGGAATCAGGCGTAATCCGGGAGGAGGTGAGAGGCCCCCCACTTGTTTGAAGAGAAGTGAGTGAGCGTGATGAAAGAAAGACTAGTGCACAAGCGCTTGACAAAACCTCCAGAAGCTGTAGCGGTCTAGCGGTTTCAATACAGGTTGACGTGCCTTCAAAAGGAGTCACATATTTCTCAAATGCAACTTCGGATTTACATAGTGACGTGCGGCGACCCTGTAAATTGCGTGGCCGCAGGCCATGCTTGCAAACAGGACGTGCTCAAAAACACTGGTATTTACGAGGTTTCGTTGCCGTCGATCCACAGCCGCGGCAAGGTCTAAGGCCACGCTTGAAGACAGGAAGAGCTGAAAACACTGGTATTTACGGTATTTTGTAGCCGTCGATCCAAAGGCGCACCACGGTTGAGCGCTGGAAAAGCGCAGAAAACCGTGTAAATACCGGCGTTTTCTGCCGGGAAGGTGCACAAAACCCTGTAAATACCATAGTTTTGTGCAATTTTGAAGCCTCCAAAAGCCTCAAAAACCCTTTCTGACAAAATCTTTCCTGGTTTTTGGTCTTTTTTCGGTCATTTTTCTAACCGAGACGCATCAAAAACCATCGGTTTTTGCGGTGTTTTTTGCCGGACAGCCACAAAAAACGCTGTAAATTCCATGATTTTTGGTCACTGCTGAGGACTGGAAGAGCTGAAAACACTGATATTTACAGTGTTTTCGAACGGTTGACCCCGAGGCGCGCTAGGGTGGAGTTGAAAGGGGGGGGGGGGGGGGGCCCCCCCCGCCGGCAAACGAAGATGTCGGGGACCATTTCTCCGAGAGATAGGCTGCAGCTCTGGGTTAATACATTTTTGCTAAAGCAAAAGGAAAACTCAGGTAGCGTAACCGCTACCTTTCGTGACTTGCTTTTCTTGGTGCTTTGGGGGTAACAACGATGGGCCTCAAAACTACAACGACCTCGAGGCCCTGTCTTCAATGCAATCGACATCTGAACACCATCGCCTTCGTTTCCGCTTTTTCTTCGTCTTCTCCTCCCAGTCTCAGTCGAGTCTCCGCGTGTGTGGAACAAAACGAAGGGCCTCTTTCCGCGGATGATGCTTCTTGCCTTAAGACATCCGTGCCACGATACCCTTGTTACTAGAAGCTTCTAGCTACTAGTAGCAACACGTGCATTACTACTAGTAGCAAATAGCTACAAGTAGCTACAAATAGCCATGCACTTTGTTACTAGTTCTGAAGGTCTCTTTCAACTCGCGCATGTAGAAGGACAATTCAGCAGTGTGATGATCTCGGCACTGCAAGCACTCAGCTCGGTTCTCTTGAGGCTGTTGTATCGTGCAATGAACTTGCATGCTTCGCACATAGGATGACCTACACCGAGACACTTCAGCATTTAAAGCCAGTCATCGGATGTCATTCCAAGTGTCTGGCAACGGATTCTTCATTTCGACGTCTCGTGTCACTTTGTTACTTGCGGTCCAAACTGGCTAAGTGTTGCTCACCTGGTTAGCTTGCGGATCCGCACCTTCCTCGTCACGCTCGACGCCGACAAGGCATTGCGCATGCACGCGATGCCCACACCTGAAACGTCGAGGGACAGTTCCGACCAAAGCTGGTAGTAACAGGTGCCACGCTAGTAGTAACAGGTGCCTTACTAGTAGTAACCAAGAAGCAATATAGTAGAATTAAGATAAAACTAAATTAAATTCAAACTACTAACTAGCTTCTTGTTACTACTAGTAAGGCACTTGTTACTAGTAGCGATGCACTTGTTTCTAATAGCTAACTGCTGCTACAAGCAGTAGCATCTTGTTACTAGTAGCGATGCCAGGAGCTACTAGTAGCGTCCTTGCTCCTAGTAATAGTAGTGATGCCCTTTGCTACTAGTAGCGTCTTATTACTAATAGCGATGGCCTCCAACCTAATAGCTTCCAACCCAAGTAGCAATGGCCTCTGACCTACTACAAATCTCACGAATGAAAGATGGGTGACTAGGAATGTACTCAAATATTCTTCAATATTCTTCATTTGTCTGAGGTTCAGGCTTTCGGAGGTCCAGTGTCCCGAAGGCTCCCAAAGGCTTCATACCTCAAAATCTAGCGCTGCTTTGATTGTCCTTTGGACAATCCTTGTTCCTAGTAGCGATGCCAGGAGCCCCTAGTAGCGTCCTTGTTCCTAGTTTGGACAAGTTCTCTCCAATTCCAAATTGCTTCCTTCGGCTTCCGGCAAACTGCACAAATGGCGCGACGTGAGATCTTCTCGAACATCTGCGCCTTTTGCAAAGGCATCGGGAGTCCATTGGTCAAACGACGAAGCGAACGGAATGACATGGCAAGACAGGTGTTTGAGGCTGGAACAAACCTTGGAGTTTTTAGCCAAAACAGCAAGAATATTGTTCGTTCATAAAGCTAGTAGTAACAAGTGCCACGCTAGTAGTAACAGGTGCCTTACTAGTAGTAACATAGTAACAAGAAGCGAACGTAGAAACAAGAATTCATTAAATCTTGTTTCTAATTGCTTCTTGTTACTACTAGTAAAGCACCTGTTACTACTAGCTTCTGAATCTGTCCTGACGTAAGAGCACCAGCACGTGATTCGGTTGAGCGAAACTCCCGTCGCAACCTGGGTTTTCTGGTCATCTCGGGAGCGGCTTCCGCGCCTCCGTTTTTGGCGAACGACATGAGGATTTCTTTTGAAAATTACAGCAGGACTCGCCTGGAAGTGCGACGTTTGTGGGAGGCCTGGAAGGCAGAGATGGCCACAAGCAAGGTCATGCCTCCAACCTAGAAGCAATGGCCTCCAGCCTAATAGCAATGGCCTCCAACCTATGATATCAGGCTACATCTTGCCTCTTTGTGTCTTCCCCTTGAACGTCTACTTCTGCTGCGACTTCTGTAGCCTGACTCAGAAGGAGATCTTGTACCATTGCGACTAGAGGCATGTTAAAGGACCTACAATGACCCTTGACCTGTCCAAAAAAAAACAGTACTTTCTTATACATGTTCAGTATCACTCCTTCAAGAGGTCTGATCAAGACAAGTAGCGTCCTTGCTCCTAGTAGCGATGCCAGGAGCCCCTAGTAGCTTCTTGTTCCTAGTAGCCACCTTCTTGCTCTTCAGCAAATGTGCACAATATGCACTTGGCTTGGCAGTTTCGACTTCGAGGAACTTTGTGATCGCATGCTGCATGTGCGGCTACTGAGGTACCGCTTGCATCCCTCTACCAGCTTAGACTTCAACTTACTTCGCTCTAGCGTCCTTGCTCCTAGTAGCGATGCCAGGAACCCCTCGTAGCGTCCTTGCTCCTAGTAGTAAGGCCAGGAGCCCCTAGTAACTTCTTGTTACTAGTATTTGATGATATTTGCAGCGTCTATAAGTTCTCGCTATAAGTTATCGGCGACAGCCTCGCAACGGGCGATGAGCAAAAGACCTGCAGCAGCTCGGCGTGGAACAGAAAGGAAACCAAAAATCAATCCCTAGACATGCATAGAGACATGTTATGAACAAAGACCATGGCTTTCATGTGTTGCACATAATGCATATTGTCAATGAGAGTCAAAATGGCATTGCAAATTGTGCTCCCCCCATCACAGTACCTGCACCGGCGAGTTTGTCGGTGCTCCAGCCTTCGACGAAAGGAACTTTTGGCCTAGACAAGCAGCGGCAGAGAAGGGTGCCAACGATCCAACGATTCGTGGAAGAGTCAAATAAGGAGCTTGTTGTTTAAAAAACTATACAAGCATAGACCCCAAACAGCTTCAAAAATCGATTTATTGGTTCGCCCTACTTTCACCCCAAGAGCAAGCTGCTTCATCAATGAGTTCTTGTCGGCATTGACATCGCTATTTGTTCGGCCACACTCCTCTCCAGTAAGCCGGGCCACAGAGACCAGCCACAGAGTTCAGGGGCGCGGCCAAGACAAGGACAAGAGGAGGACAAGACCCGGAGACAGAGCCGGGCCAGAGAGACCAGCCACAGAGGAGCCGGGCCACAGAGCCCAGCCACAGAGTTCAGGGGCGCGGCCAAGACAAGGACAAGAGGAGGACAAGAAGAGGACAAGGCCCAGCCACAGAGCCCAGCACAGAGGACAAGAGGAGGACAAGAGCCCAGTAAGCCGTCCATAGCACACGAGCGCGCTCGCCCTGCTCTCTTTCTCTCTCTCTCTCTCTCTCCCTCTCTCTCTCTCTCTCTCTCTTAAGTTTCTCTTTCTCTGTCTTTCTCTCTGCAGAGCGCGCTGTGAGCGCGCCTTTCTGGAGCGTATTTCAGAGCGCGCCAGAGCGCGCCGTCCAAAGCACACGAGCGCGCGCCCTGCTGTCTTTCTCTCTCTCTCTCTCACTTTCTCTTTAAGTTTCTCTTCCTCTGTCTTTCTCTCTGCAGAACGCTGCAAGCGCGCCTTTCTGGAGCGTGAGCGCGCCGTCCAAAGCACACGAGCGCGCGCGGGCTCGCCCTGCTGTCTTTCTCTTTCTCTTTCTCTGTCTCTTTCTCTTTCTCTTTCTCTTTCTCTGTCTCTCTCTCTCTCTTTCTCTTTAAGTTTCTCTTTCTCTGTCTTTCTCTCTGCAGAGCGCGCTCTAAGCGCGCCTTTCTGGAGCGTGAGCGCGCCGTCCATAGCACACGAGCGCACGCGCGCTCGCCTTGCTTTCCTTCTTTCTTTCTTTCTTTCTGTCTTTCTCTCTCTCTCTCTCTCACTCTCTCACTCTCTCTCTCTCTCTCTCTTTCTCTTCAAGTTTATCTTTCTCTGTCTTTCTCTCTGTAGAGCGCGCTCTGAGCGCGCCTTTCTGGAGCGTATGTCAGAGCGTGCGCCACAGAGCCCAGCCACACAGAGCCCAGCCACAGAGTTGACAGAGTTCAGGGGCGCGGCTAAAGCGGCTAAGAGGAGGACAAGAGGAGGACAAGAGGAGGACAAGGCGTGGACACAGAGCCCAGCCACAGAGTTGACAGAGTTCATGGCAAGAGGAGGACAACAGGAGGACAACGAGGACAAGAGGAGGACAAGGCGTGGACACAGAGCCCAGCCACAGAGCCCAGCCACAAAGTTGACAGAGTTCAGGAGCGCGGCCAAGAGGAGGACAAGACGAGGACAAGGCCCACAGCCACAGAGCCCAGACAGAGTTCAGGGCCGCGGCCAAGAGGAGGACAAGGCCCAGCCACAGAGCCGCGCCACAGAGTTGACAGAGTTCAGGGGCGAGGCCAAGAGGAGGACAAGAGGAGGACAAGGCCCAGCCACAGAGCCCA